GGGAAATTTGTAACCTCCACCTCAATTAACTTTTCACTGTGGCTGGTCAGTGATAATTGCACACCTAGGTGTCGCTCCATTTCTTGTTCATTGAAAATGTGCACAACCTTTCCCCTCTGTTGTTATTAGCAGGGGGGGTTTTGCAAGTGTGTGTGTGTGTGTGTGTGTGTGTGTGTGTCCATTTTGTTGTTTTGTTGTGATCAGACAGGCCAGAAAGAAAGAACCTGGTCTGAGTTTTAATTGGTACACTACAAAGCCAAAAGTAGCGGTGTAGTTTAGTTGTAGTCAGGTTGAGGAAGTAAACAAAGAGACAGATTTACAAAAGGAGTCGCTGAGGTTGTTGAACTCGACTGCAGGAAAGTGCGCGCCAGATTACTGAACACTGATGTGAGCGAAGCCATTGATCCACCATCAACACACGATGTTTGTGTCAACACAGCTATTGATTTTTGCATTTAATGTGAATATTTGTGATTTATTCCAGTGGATTTCATGTTTTTCCACAGTTACTGCAGAGTTTTAGTTGCAAACGTGATCTTTCTCAGTTGTTCTTTCACACTGATTTTCCTCTTGTTATGAACTCCTTCTCTCAGCTCATTGTTTTTCTCTCTTTGCAGATTTTATTCATGAACAAGATAGACCTTTTTCAAGACAAGATCTTGCACTCTGGGCGGCATCTGCGGTTGTATTTACCGCAATTTAAAGGTAGGATTGATATTCATTAGGAATGTTATTACCACGGTCAGCATAATAGCATGCAAAAGCCCATGGCTGTGTCCAGAGTCACTCAGTAGACAGTAAATTCACCATCTTGCAGTGCTGTCTGAAAGCACAGTGCATTTAGAGCTGCATAGAAAGTACTGCACAATTTACGGTAACTACCCAAGCATTGAATACCATCATGAAAAACAGCAGACAGATGCATCACGGCCTGAATTTGTCTTTAGATGCTCGCTATCATATGTGTGTATAATAAAAAAATAATGTTGGTATTCATCTGTTTGGCCAACACTGAGCTGCCAGGTTGTTAAAAAGTTTTGACATAGTATTGATGATTTTTAAAACTATCAAGAGTTAAATGAAGCTCACACGTTTTACAAATATAGATATTTGCCGTCATAAAAGCATAAATTTAGTCCATTATGCACAGCTTCACCTAGGGGATTTAAACCCGGACATTGAATGATGAGCTCTTAGCCTGCTGCAAACTGTGATATTTTGGGGGAATTTCTGCATCTGCTCAACATTTCACTTCTCGTGTCTCAGTGGGCTCAACAGGGGCCGTGTCCCCTCTGCTCGCATGCAAATGTCAATAAAAATGCTAAAACACTTGGGATTGGGGTCAGCCTGCAGAGCAAGAGTCTATTTCACACTGACCTCAGATGTGATGATGAGTAATACAGCGGCTCCTGGCATTTTTATGTGTGTAGGCTGTGTTTTTGTTTGCTTGGAGCTGACAGAAGTTGGATGGCTGGACTGTTGATTCATTATTTTCTAGTTTAGCTTCTCTGCTTGGTTAGTATCAATCGTGGAAATGGACTAAGTGCATTTATTCAAGTGCTGTTATTAAGTCCAATTTTGAAGCAAGCTGCAGCGCACAGACACACAAATCTGCTAATTACTGCTTAGTAACAGACTAATGAAACACTAGAATATCACTTATTAAAACTGAAGCACAAACTTCAAGCTGTTATTTGTCAGATAATGACCTTTAATGCTTCAAAAAGTACCAACAGCACAAACACAGATGAGAGGTCCAGTTAGGTTAGTCAGATATGGTTGGGAGGAGGCTTGCTGGACAGCTGTCTGCTCCAGCTGCCCTGTGTGGGTACACCTGTCAATCAAAGTGGCCACACCTTTAATTTAAAGCCTGTGACCACATAGTTTTCTCTTGAATTAAGAAAATATCCAAACAGTAGAGTTATTAAAAAAGATCATTCTACTTCATCCCAGTATTTATTCTTATCTAGTATAAAATGTTACTACAACTTGCTTTTTATTCCTTTCCTCTCTCATAAATCATCTCACGACTTCTTTTACTTTTAGACCCTACTACAGAAGATTCACAGTTCAAATGAATCATTATTTATCATAAACGGCACCTTGGTTTGACCTCTGAATTCGTCCTCTGGCTGAAATAAACTCCTCTGTTTAACTCCTCTCCCTTTAAACCGCTTTTCCTCAGAAGGGCTGCGCCTCGCAAACAAAAGGTTTGAACATCAAGCAGATGGAGCTGCTCGGATATCCGCTCTGTGACATCACAGAGAGCAAAAAAACTGAAAAGCAAACCGTTTAAAACTGAGTGTTCAAAGCAGTCTGAACATTCTGCCTCACAGGGATTACTCATGTATGCCTAAATTTAATGATTTCAAAATGCTGGTCGTGATTTAAAATGAGATTAAAATAAACATTCACCATTTCAAATCATGACCACTGGCATTACAGTGGAACAGTAATGACAGAAAATAAGGAAAAGTATAATATAACATCTTGTGCAAATTTATAATTTGGCTAAAAAATGGAGATAAACCTAAAAAAAAACTTTGGGATTCACCAAATCTACAACCTGATCATTTTTAATAGGAATGAATGCACGGGGCAGCGCAGCAACACCAAAAACGTCTGAAAGATAGTAAAGTGCACAATGACAGGATTATTTCCATGGTTAAGAAAATTAACTTTCACACATCTGACCAAGTCATTTACTAATCAGGTTGGTTGTTCGATCCACTTAACCTTCAGTCACTCGCTGCTCCAACCTGGATGCCAAGATATGTTCACTGGAATGTAAATGCTAGATAGAAAACACTGATATGAACGGGTGAATAACATGTTTTATAAAGCTTTATAAAGTAGAGTAAAAAAAAAGTGCTATATAAGAACCTGTCCATCTATTTAAGAAAGCCTCACAAAAGAAACTGAAGGTGGCTGCATCAAAGGCCTAACAGAGCATCTCAAGGTAGAAAATGCAGCATCTGGTGATGTCCATGGGTCGTGACTTCATTCAGACATTTATTTTTTTTGTCTTAAAATGGAAAAACTAGTCCTTATATTTCAAATCGTGTTAGTTTGTCCAATTAATTATGAACCTCTGACTGTGGGGGACTGAGTATAAACATGGTTGTAACAAAACTAAAGCTGAAAGTTTGCACTTTATTATTTGATTTAAAATTCACTGTGGTGGTGAATTTATGGACCAAACTGTAAATAACCCACAAGCAGCTAAGGCAGTAAAATGATGCTTACACACACCGCATCAGTTTTAATTCAAATCAAGTTGCAGAAAATGTGCTTATTTATCTACACCTCAAACTTTTTTGCCATTTATTAGATAATTTGCAATTGTTTTGTCTTATGTCCACTTTCTTATTGTCAGTGAAAACTTGAATAGTAAAGCTGTTTTTGTAATAGAAAAGTAGAAACTTCCACTGCCTCAGTGGGCCGATTGCCACTGGTGTCACATCTCTTCCTAAATGCAAATACATAATTCAGAATTTCATTCTTTTCAACATTAACTAAGCAACTCTGGGAGTTTTTGCAAACACATCTGATCTCTCCCCCCTCATCTTCGTCAGGTGCAGACTGTGACGTGGATTCGGCCGCCCGCTTCATCGCCGCCACCTTCATCTCACTAAACAAAACGCCCAGCAAACTCATCTACCACCACTTCACTACGGCCACCGACACCTCCAACATCCAGATTGTCTTCCAGGTGGTTATGGAGACAATAATCAAAGAGAACCTGGAGGCCGTGTCGCTCCTGTGACTGCGTGAGGACTTTGTCACATTTTAAATACTGAAATATGGAGATCATGTCACGCAAACATGATTCCTGATCTCCCTAGTGTGAGGAGAACGCCAGGAGCTCTGCTGCTCCTCTTCGATTTCATGATCACATGTAGCTTCTAAAAACTGTTTCAAAGCAGATTGAAGTGGAGGACCACTCGGTTCATGCTTTGCTTGTGTTGGTCCCCGAAATGTTGACTTTTGAAACCTTTAATTGAAAGTAAAGGGCACTAATGTTTTATACTGTAGTTTTATATGAAGTCAAACTATGAAAAGTGACGCTGATTTTTATGTTTGAAGACTGGATATAGATACATGTGGCATTTATTTGTGTCCTCCTCTGTGAACGTGGGGCCAGCATGGAGCGTGGGTGAGGGGTTTGTTCAGTAACTTTGGTGGCGCAGTATTCACTCACGCATACCATCATGTGTTTCCCGCTCATCCATCACTTTGTCTCTGCTGTGCGTCACGCCTGTTTTTTTTTTTCTTTTTTTTAATGAGGTCTTAATCACTTTAAAAACACACCAGAGTGTGTTGACTTGACATCCTGAGCTAAAAACACCCACATCTGTGCACAGCCCCTTTGTCTTCTGATTCCTACCAGTCACACTGATATGGGGAAACTTATTAGAATTTAAAAAGTGAAACATCTGACTTGTGGTTAATTTCCTTCCCATCACCAGTGACAATTATTGTTCCAGTATTACACACAAACCCTGTTTTTGTTGTTTTTTAGCCAGGATGAAACCACCTATATGTGATTTGTTTGCAATTAGCTGAGCTGGAGTTTGTTTCCAGGGCTCCCCTGTGCTACTGACTCCAGTAATAAACAAGATATGGTAATGACTGATGCAGTGTGATATGGATACTAAAAAAGAAAAACAGTGAGAAAAACACCCCCAAGTGCGTGATGAAGTTGTTTTGCTGTGCTGTAATATAAATGCTTCATACGCATGTATGAAATGTGTTTTTCATTCTTTGTTTCTTCTTTCTGAATTATTTTTTTATGTTTACAGTTCATTAAGTGTTACATCCTGAGACTTACTTTATGGTTTGTACTGAATCTGGAGTACAGAATAAATGTTATGCTGCAAACTCAACGGAAATCATGCAAATGGATAAGATTCAAATAATCCCGTGCTGGACCACTTATGTGTCCCCTGTGCAGTTGAAGATTTAAAGACACAGTTAGACCACACAGCAGGTTACCAGTGTTTGTTCATTTTAATAGATAAAATAAATAAAAGTACTTTACAGTAAATCTTCTCTGCAGTCGACTTCTCTTAAATTTAATACAGTTTGGCAACACAGGCAAATGTCAGGGTTCAAACACTAAAGATGAGAAATAATTTGGGAAGAAAACGGCTTGAGCGAACATCTCTCACACCGATGTTTTTCATGTTTTTTTTCTTTTACACTCATGTCTACACAACAAAAGCAAAACTGAACAATGTTGGGGGGTTTAAATAAGAGAACATTCAGAGTCTGCAGCGGTCCGTCTTTGACAATTTGTGGGTCTTTCCCGGGAGTCGCCATCAAACCCTCACACTCATGCATCCTCGTTACTTCTTTCCTTTTTTCCGGTTTCCTCAGCAGTGCTCCCGGGATTCTGCGGAGGACGAGTCCAGCCGGGACTCACGCGGACAGGCAGTCCAGGGAGTCTAGAGTGAGGAAGACGTCCGCCTTGCACTGGAAGGTGCCCGTCCCGTCCCGCATCAGCTCGCAGCTCTTCAGGTTTGGAGAGATGTCCTTCACGCAGATGGCCTGCATGAGGCGAAAATGACAGATGAGAGAATTTAAAGCCAAAAGACAAGTCCTGTTTAACCAGCCTGAAAACCTACATTTCACTGATTTACACCGATTACATAAAATCATGCAGACTAAAATAATTAATCCTGGAGTTAGGGATGTAATCAGTTTAGATTTAGTTAAATATGCGATAGCAGTTTTATTAAAGCTGACCTTCAGCGCCCAATCATTTGATTTTTCTGTTTTCTTTGTTTGTTTTTGTCTTTATGATATTTTAAAAAAACACAAATAAATCAGGAGTATTAATTCAATCTCATCCTGATTTTTTTAATTTATTTTTATTTTATTTTATTTTTAAGATGTCAAACTTTCAGCACTAATTAATCGCCAGTGTGGGTCTTAGAGCTAAATGGAAAGCAAACTTTACGCGCATACCTTCTTCATTTTACTCTGAATGGTCATGTTTTAAAGCGCTTCCTAACAAGAATAGCGTTTGTAGTATGTCCTTTTTTGGCACTCACCATGCTTTTGAGGAGGGAGATCTGCCTGGAACTCTCCGGGATTACGTTGTTACCGACTGTCTCTCCGCTCTCCATCAGCGTCTCCTCGGAGTCGGATCTCCGGACGTACGGTGACCTCCTGATACCGGACAGCAAACCCGAGGCGCGACCAACCGAGTAGTAACTGGGACCCGTGGTCTGCTTGTACCAGGCTTCGACTGAATAGCAGGAGATGAGCAGAGACACTCCAACGCACACCACAGCGAACCTGGCTGATTTCTCCATGTCTGGAACCGTCTTGGCACGTTTTACGCAGGACTTTTCTCGTCAGCGGTGCGTTTGTTTTGCTTGGTGTTCAGGAAACTTTCTGCTGCTTATATAGGCTGACTGGGCGACGTTATCGTGACCCAGGTCGTTCGTCAAATCAGAGCTATGAGGTGGGCGGATGATGATCCATCTTCAAAAGGAGAAAAAAAAAAACATCCGAATTGATCTACTCTTGATGGTTTAATGGCGCCACTGGAATGTGTTTGTGTGTGTGTATGTGGTAAGTGATAGTTAGAGGGTCATAGGACGTCAGCAAATCTCTGACCCTTGAAGAGGTCAGAGCGAAATTGATTAACATCAGTCAACCGTCCGTGACAGACACTGACACTGTAGTCAAAACACAATAGACACCGGATACCGACAAATTAAAGGAAGACACCTTGTATTTCACTGATTCATTCCTAAAATAACTCTACTTGAGCGACAGGTGGTTTTATTTTTTCCCCTTTCCAAAAGATATTTCCTGATTTGTCGTTTTGTTGATGGTTGTTGAGATGCTGCTTAAGAAGTTGGTTGAAAATCCCTCAAATGTTCAGTTAGAATCAAAATTGGTAAGTCTGAAGGTCTCAGCATATGATTCACACCATTCTCATTCTCGTGAAACTATTAAGTGAGTCAGTGCCCCCTTTGGATGAGGAGCTTTGTCATCTTGGAAGAAGCAGTCATCTAAGGGAATAAGTGGAGTGAAACCATGCCAGCAAAATGCCGCCCACAGCATAACAATTACTGAATAACCTCACTTGAGGGGTAAAAGGTTCCAATTTTTCCTTTAATAAATCACCCAGTGATAGCTTATGAGACCGTGTGTGTCTTAACTGCTCGTATTTATCAAATGTCAATGTAAAATAATGAGACTGACCAATTTTCAGAATTTCTTGGTTGAGTTTTCACATCAGTGAAAAGTTACGATTCATTACTTCATTCACAGAAATCAGCTCGAGCAAGCAAAATCAGAGCAAAGGGCTTCAAAATCTTGAATTGAAGTAAAGTCAGATAGATCAGGAATGAAACAATGAGCCGATGGATGGGTGAACGAGTTTTAACAGCTTCCTACAAGGATTTAACGAACCAGTCTGACTTCAAAGTGGAGCTCAGAGGAAAAACAGTCCTATTTCAACAGAACCCATTTCGAGATTGATCCGCTGACATCACCAGTCATGCGTCATGAACTCCACCACGTCTTCAGTTACCAGATCAATCGATCAACAATACCAAAAACAGTTAAATGGTGTCTAAATGTGTTGCCTTTCTATAACTCAGGGTTATGGTGGGAGTCTGGATGAAAATGGTGAAAATGAACCTTAAATGTACAGAGACGGAGAAAAACGATGAGCGATTAAATTACGCAGTAAAATAAAGCAGACGGTACAAATTAAAGCAACTAAAATTGTTTATTTTAAGCATTAAAAGCATCACTCACATACAAAATTAGAAATTAAAATAAACATCTTGTATTTTACAAAGTAAATGCCCTCATCCATGGAGCTTTATCAGTCAAGATGACTGAAGGTACCATTGGGGTCCCTCATAGTCCATTGTAAAGTGGTCTGCAGTGCGGCTCCAGTTTGTCCTCCAGGACATAGTCTGGTCCACAGACCCAGGGATCACCAGTCTTCCACTGCCACTTCTGCAGATCCTGCTTCAGGCTCTCCAGCACGCCGCTGTAGGACGGGTCTGACACCAGGTTCTTTGTTTCCAGTGGGTCTGTCCTGCATTAGCGATGCAATCATTAATATTTAAACATTTTAGAAAGACCGAGCTCATAAGCCACAATTACTCACTGCAAATCCCTCCATCTAATGCAAAAATAATGAGTTATATTTACTAAAATGACTATAGACTATAGCAACTATAGCTTC